ACCAGCTTAAACCAGCATCCCAGCGTCAAAACATACCTAACCAGCATATGCTGTTTTTTTCAACAGGGTTATTTATTTATTTTCACCTAAATGATGCCTAATCCTGGTTTTACTGCAATAACCATAATTTAACTTGTTATAAAGCCACAGTAACCACAAATTTGCCATTGTTATACTAGTGATTTTGTTTAAAATATGATATTTCTAATGAAGCCGTGGATTAGCACACTGTTTAATTTTAAGTCCTGGACGCTCTTAAAGAATGCTTAGAAATGGGTACAAATCTTAAAATAGTGTGCTTAGTTTACAACTTTGATTTTGGGTTTGATCAGTTCATTATAAATGCGTCTTTTATCATGAAGTGTTTGTGTTCAGATGTTGAGCATGAAAGCGCAGGTGGATGTGGTCTGCTGTAAATCAGTAGGAACTGATCTGTCCATGCTGGATATTGAGGATTTCATCACAGAAATCTGTCAGCTGAAGAAAGAGGTGGCTTCACTGGAGGCAAAGCTGAGAGAAAGAGGAGACAAACTGAACAGAGAGGTTTGAGCAGCTCTTCATTTCATCTTTAGCTGCTAATATGGACTGATTGTTATGTGAATTAATGTCTTATTTTTAATCATACTCTTACTAGATGTATTACTGATTGTGTTTGTCAGGATGTGGAGCAGGTTTCAGTGCGTGTGACTGATGGGACAGAAGCTCAGGATTCAGTCTGGAGCGTCAGAGATCAGAGATCCAGAGACACACAGGACTCAGAGCTCAGCCTCACTTTACTCTGTTATACTGACGCTCAGGATCATGAATCCACTGATCAAACCTCTGACTGTAACGCTGGAGAACAGCAGATGCTGCAGACGCCGCTGAAGACGTGCTCCGTCAAACTGGTGGACTGCAGGAACCTGATAGAGAGCAGAGGAGAAGAAACCACCGCAGAGAAAGAACAACAACACCGTGATGAGGAAGAGGAGGATGATGATGAGAATAATGGGGATGATGATGATGAAGAAGAATTCATTCCTCCAGGTTTGTTTCTTCTTTTTCTGAGATATTTGGGGAAATAATGGCAAATGACAGTATTTTTTCTCTCTTTCTATTTTGATCTAGAATGTGTTTTTTAAGAGAGCCAGATATGCTGTGCCTGTTTGTTAGGCTGCACGATTTGGCCAAAAATCTAATTTCAATTAATTAATATTATAAATTATAAAATTATGAAAGAAATACATTCTGCTTGTAATTATACTATTATACTGTAAAATTACATTATATTGTAAAATGTGTGGCAAATGTTGCATTTCCAAACTCACTTTATCAATATGTCTATGCATAAGTTTATTTAATTAATTCGCAGGCTTTTTGCAATTGGAAAACTGCACTAAACCATATTGTGATTTTTTAAAATGTTTTTATTAATTGTTCACTCCTAGAAGTTAGACTTGCACTGAACAAAATTATAAACGCAACACTTTTGTTTTTGACCATATTTGTCATGAGCTGAACTCAAAGATCTAAGACTTTTTCTATGTACACAAAAGGCCTATTTCTCTCAAATATTATTCACAAATCAGTCTAAATCTGTGTTAGTGAGCACTTCTCCTTTGCCAAGGTAATCCATCCACCTCACAGGTGTGGCATATCAAGATGCTGATTAGACAGCATGATTATTGCACAGGTGTGCCTTAGGCTGGCCACAATAAAAGGCCACTCTAAAATGTGCAGTTTTATCACACAGCACAATGCCACAGATGTCGCAAGTTTTGAGGGAGCATGCAATTGGCATGCTGACTGCAGGAATGTCCACCGGAACTTTTGCCCGTGAATTGAATGTTAATTTCTCTACCATAAGCCGTCTCCAAAGGCGTTTCAGAGAATTTGGCAGTACATCCAACCGGCCTCACATTTATAATTTTGTTCAGTGTATATAGAATTTCTGTATGTTTTCTGAGTGGCACAAACAAATATGTTTTTAAAACCCAGAATTTATAACCATTTTGTTCATTTCAGATGATAAAGGCTGTTCATCTTCTGATGGAGAAACAGACTTAACATCAAAAGAGCAGCTGACGGTCAAGAGTTTCCGTTGCTCATAATATGAAAGCTCATATAAAGACACACGACGAAAAGTCTTTCCACTGCAGCGAATGTGACAAGTATTTCAGCACGAAAGGAAATCTTGTTGCTCATAAGCGAATCCACACGGGAGAAAGACCGTACAAGTGTCCTCACTGTGAGAAGAGCTTCAATCATGGATCTCATCTGAAGACACATGTGCGTTTGCACACCAATGAGAGGCTGTATCAGTGCAGTGAATGTAGGAAAACCTTTACAAACTCAGGCTCTCTAAAGTCACACCAAATTATACACTCTGATGAGAAACCGTTTCAGTGCAAATACTGCGACAAACGATTCCGCCAGACTTCTAATCTGAACACTCACGAGAGGACTCACACCGGAGAGAAACCGTATCTGTGCTCCTACTGCGGGAAGAGCTTTGCTAGTCCAGATTCTTTCGGAGTCCATCAGAGAGTCCACACTGGAGAAAAACCGTATCACTGCAGCGTCTGTGGGAAGAGTTTCAGTAAGTTTGATACTTTACAAAACCACAAGAGGATTCATACCGGAGAAAGACCGTTCAACGGTGCGGCCGCCATTTGTAGGACCGAATTGCAATTCCATCAGTCTGCTGTGCTGTGCTCTGGGCTGTGATAACAACAAATAACAATGGATTATTTACCAAGAGATGTGGATGTATGAGATTCTTTTGATTAAATATTTCTCGTAAGCATGCGTTTTTACATTTTAGTATTTTAGTTAGCAAGTTCATAATGAAACTTGGAAAAGGTTAAATTCGCGTGTAAGACTGCTGATTTGCCAGAAAACTTTTCATGAATATAGAGTCATGCTTGACAGATTAGAACAATTATTCTATAATAAACCAGACAGAACTATTAAAAATCTTCCAAATAAAATACTACAATAATATGAGCGCCTGGATTTCATAAGGATTTCAAAATGTTTTGTGTGGTGAAATGGCGTAAAGAATGCATGAAAGAGAGTCACTGGCAAATACACTGTTTTTCATTGCTGGACCGGTTTCTTTTAATCAAGAAAGAGCCATAGTTTATTAATTATCCATTTCATCACTATATGGTATAAACGAATCCTCTGGGTGGAAAAGTTTGGGGGTTTTGTGGCAGCTACTTGAACTTCACTGTAATGTCAGTTAGAAAGATTAGATTTGAAGTGTAGAATTAAAAATGTTTATGGCATATTTGGAATATTGACCTCATGTGAACACAAAACTGACAGCTTCTTTTAGCTGTTAATACTAAAAAAAAACTTAAAAAGGGTCTACTGCCATTTATGACGTCCACTTTAAACATTACAATGCTCATAATAACTTTTGCTAACTCTATAATAAATAAATCTGGACAGACACTATTATAATGGACAGACACTGATCTAAACTCAAAATGATTGTGTATGATTATGAACGAGAGCGGAATTAATCTATAAATGGTTATTATTAGGCTATTTTCATAACGCTGTAAAAATTTTCCAATGAAAACGTTGCAAATGTTTTTGTTTAATGACTTAGAGCCCTGAAATTCGTTTAATGCAGCATTTATTCAAATACAGAAATAGATCAACCAAAACACGTTTTAAATTATAATTTCACAGACAAAGCTTAAGCCTAAATGTAAATCTGAGCTGTTTCAACTTAAAGAAACTTGTTTTTTTTCTAAGGCACCTTAATAAAAACTACTTAAATGTCCTAATTGAACTATGGCCTCCTGGCTGAGTCTAAGCCCTGTCTGTGAAACCAGGCTCTTGAATGATAAAACAGAAATCAAAATCGTAGGTAATCTTCGTTTACTGAGCGCCTCTGATCTGCGCGCGCTTCTTCATCACGCGCTTTTTCCTCCACAGAAAGCCGCGCGCTCGCGGAATTTAAAAATTAACGGTCATTTTCTTTTACTGCCTGACTGACTCGCTCGTTTATCGATCTCTTTACTAAATTATTACTTAAAATTAATATAGTTATGAGAGTAAATATGATTTCGGAGGGATTTAACATGCCTAACTGAAGAGAACAGGCTACATATGATCCTGCTTCTAGTTTTGAATAAACTAACTAGTGAGGATTCGCCACTGGAATTCAATGGTATTTTTTAATGAGATAAAGACGACTTTGACCGCTTGTTATTTTCTCACTCCATCGCTCGTCCTGTAGGAGGCGCTGTGACGATCTTTAGTCCACCGGTAAAACCACCGAAGAAAGAAGGTTGGAGCACTCCGGTGTGTTTTAATGTGTTACTTGATTTATGCGTTTTAGCTGCGTATGTGCATGTTGTTTTTTCTGTCTTTAGTGTTTATTACTTTAAATAAAGATTTTTTTTTCTCGCCTTTTCTCATCGCTTATGAAAATTATC